CTTTTCTTGATGGGAAAAAAGCATTGAATACGCAACAGATTTTTGCGACCGTCACCGCTACACAAATTCTTCGCAACGTCGCACAGCTCGAGAACGGCTTGACGGATGGTGACGTATGAGGTCTCGTTGGAAAGAAGAGAGGATAAGTAGTACAATTACGGAAAAACAAATAGGGCGGAATTGCCAAAAGGGCATTACATCATATATTCGTTGTTATTAGTCCTATTTAAGCGTGCGATTATACTAAGATGGAAAAAACATACAAGGCGACTACCAAAAGAGCCCTACACGGAATCTTCGTTATTAATGAACATAGTTACATAAAAGATAGGATTTATTATACAATAATCGAATAAAAAATAGATTTATTATACGACAAATTTTGATTCATTGGCTTGAAAAAGGAGTTCAAAATAAATAACTAATATTAAGAAAGAAAAAATAAACAAGGAGACTACCAAAAGGGCACTACACAGTATCTTGATTACTAATGAATGTGCAGTTACATACGAGATATCATAGGGCACCATGGATGAAAATAAATTTACTATAAAACAAATTTTGATTTATTGACTCTGGCTGAGTACAAAATAAACAACTGATAGAATCATCAAATGCGGCATACCAAATGAAAGGGGAGGATATAACGAACATATTAAGATATAAAAAACAAACAAGGCGACTACCAAAAGGAAAGTACATAGCATATTCGTTATTAACGAGCGTATAGTTACAAAAGAGATATCAGATTTTACTAGGAAAGATAGTACAACTATCTTACTATAAGACAAATTTTTATTTATTGACTTAAAAAGACCTCTGACAGTATAAAATATACAACTATGACACATTAAATGAAACATATAATGTGTATACCTTGCTATCAATATGACGCATAGTGTTACGGAGCCTGTCTATCAATATTTATTGTTAGTTTTCTTAATGACAAATTATGGTCATGTACGTTTCCTAATTATAATTTCTAGTTTTCCTTCATGAGTTGTTCTTTATTTATCATCCTATTTGGCCTGCATTTAGAGCCTAAGCATTTGTTTATAAAAGATTATAAATTTCAGAATTTAATCTCAGGGAAGTTAATGGAACGAGGGCGTATCAAATAGCTGCTTCTACTCAAATACCAACCTCACTTTTACGTGATTCTCCCTGTTAGATAAATACCCTAATGAATGAACGCATTTCTGCTGAAATTCGATCTAGATCAGCTGCTTTGGCATTTTTTAGAGGGTTTACTAGATAGTTTATTTAATCTTTCATAATTTTTGCTTCGACAGTATTCAGCGTTTCATTATACGGATACATATTTTTATTGTATTTACTACTTCCTATATTTTCTTTTGCAACAACCGGTTATATTTGTTAGATTTTTTCCACTCCATATATTACAGTTTTTCTTTTTTTATACTCTTTCGATTTTTTGTATTATATCCTATAATATAGGTTTTATCTAATATAGGTTTTAATTATTTGTTTTTGTCTCAAAATTGTCATTAGTTGGTCATACATTACTCTGTCGAACACCTTTTCATAACCTATACAACAGGCATAGACATAATTATAAATATTCTAGCAGCGCTACGTTAATACATTTGGTTATTGCTTATAGCTTGATCTAAAAATAAAAATCTTAAAAATATTTTTTTAGATATTAAATAGATTTTATCGTTCATTAAGCTAATTGTTCCATGGTATCTACATTGTTTAAAAGCAGGTCATTTAAGACAAATTGGGAGTGGATATCTCCACTGAATACTTCGAACACTGATTTTTGAAGCACTGAGAATTCCAATGCTCCGTCCTTTTAATATAAAATATCTCGCTTAACGTTGCTTTTGTATAGTCGGTAATTATTTTACTTATTCCTTACAGGAAGCTGCTTAAATTTATAACATATCAAAAAATCTAGTATTTTCAGAATTGATTTACAATTTTTATAAAAATTACCTTATGTATTTAGAACAAATGTGCTCAAAAAAGGTTAATTCAATATCATCTGCATCACCATTCTCATTGGTTTGAATTTTATAGTTTGTATTTATAAGTTTTCTAATTATATTTTTGGGTATGTTTCTATTGTTAGAAATTCAAATATGTTTGAATTTTACGTCTTTTTAAGTAACACTATCTAAAGGTGACAACATACAGTACAGTAACAAATGACAAATTTTTTGTTCGACACACTATTAATTTTTTTTTTCAAAAAATTTTCAGAGTCCCTTTTTTACGGTTTTGTTTTTCCTCAAATTCTTTCATAGTTTGGTCCTTCGAACCGGACGTATATTTTGCTGGTTTGAAATATTCTTTGAAATATATGAGAAAGAAACTTAATACGTTTAATAAATAATTTATTACTTACTACTGTTTTGCATCTACATTTTGCCACAAAAATATGGATCACCTTCGGACACTTGCTTTCCCAAATCATCTCTTACTATGTCTTCTTTCACCTCCTTTTCCTCACACTCAATGACTCGTCGTATAGGCCAATTATCTCATTTCATAATAGTATACGTGCACCATCCATTTAAGTTTAAGTTTATTATTTTATCCACTTTTGTCACTCCATTTATCAATTAAAGAATTCTCATTACAGTAGGATGCATTGCCGTATATCATAGGTGATATTATAGAGATCTTACAAAATGTTTATGTTTTCCCTTCAGTTTAATTCGAACTTTTTCATCCTACTATAATACATATATAATGCACATCCCTCTATTTCCCACTCATACTTTAATCTTGACGACTGCATATCCTTTTGAAAAGGATTTCACCATACCACCAACGATTTTCACCATGTTATTTGTATCAGTAACTCTTAATACTTTTTATGCGTAGTAAATTTTTTTAAACGAACCTTCTAAATACCGCTTTTTGTCCTACTAAGTTTTAAATCTTTTCTAGAATAGTGCACTATTTAAAACAGTGTAATATTAATCAATAATCAACTTTTACGCGAAAAATGTATCGATGAAAAAAATGGTAACAGATTTGGAAAACAATTTGGATATATTATTTTCACACTGTGTATCAATAAAATTGAAATAATTAAATTAATACTACTATTAAATTAAATGTAACAACTTCATCCTGCAAGGCCTGCTGAGCTCAATAAATAACTTAATTAACTACATAATAAATTCAAATTGAAAATACCTCATACAGAAAATACTGCAGACTTTGAATCTAACTAGTTGTATTATATCGGATCGTTTTTAAGTGTACAAAAAATAAAACTAGATAAAAGTGCTAAAATCATAAACTGCCAATTAGAAAACATCTTGAATATTAATGCCTAATAATTTGTTACCTTAAAAACTAAACAAAAAATGTTGATATGAAAAATGTTATTTCCTTTTCAGTTTCAGTTTATTATCTTAACAAATATTGTTTCTTAACATTTTTAATATTTTGCCAAGATATCTACACTTTAGAAATATTTTATCAAACCAAATAGTGACGAAAACAGGCTAACAAAGCGATTTAACCTAACGTCTTTGTTATTACTTGTAATAACAAAGCAAATCAACCTAAAGTCTTCTTTATTACTTGTATGTAGTGTAGATAAGGTCTTTCTTAGTTGGACGATATACGTTAATCTATATTTGGTTCAAAGCCATGTGATTTTCCTGCACTTTTTTGTTTTTGACTTTCCTTTCCAATCATTGACATGAAGTTTTCTATGTAGTTTATACTTTCTCGACCCTACTCGAAGGAAAGCAAACATGGACTCTAATCGCGGCGACGACTAAGAAGCTAGAAGCATTTAAAATGTGTATATATGGAAGAATCCTAAAGATATCATGGGCCGAACATGTAATATACAACAAAGCCATGAGAAGAGTTGGCAAAAGGATGGAAATGAAGAAAAAATAAAAATACGAAAGTTGCAATACTTGGGACATGTTATGCGTGGTGAGAGATTCTACGTACTTTAATTGATGATACAAGGGAAGATCCAGGGCAGGAAAAATATAGGAAGGAGAAGAATCTCATGGCTGCGTAACTGGAGAGAATGGTGCGGATTCACATCAATCGAACTATTCAGAGCAGTCGCATGTAAGATGAGAATAACTGCGATGATTGCCAACCTCCATCGTGGCGATAGCACTTGCAGAAGAAGGAGGCTAAACGAACGTTATACAGTTGGAAAGATATGAAATAAAAATGTACCATTTCTCGCCAATCATTATTAGAAGCATTAATTACGGGAATAAAAGCGCCCTCTTGTAAAGGAATAATACTAATTATTAACTGTATGACAGATCGGTAATTAACACGAATATAAAAATGCTCATCCTTTAGATTTTAGAGGAATACGTTGAGCTAATAATAGAGCTAATTTCAACAGGTTCTGCAATTGTTTTGAAAAATATACCGTAGCATTGAAGAAGTTCTGGAAAATTGCCTACAACTAATTGGTGATTGTAAATTCATATTATTGTGAATATTTTGTCGTTCGTTAACTTTTCTTATTAAATATTTGCAAATTATGCTTTCACAGAATCCAGAAAGATGGCAAATAATGATGTAGCCATTGTTTTGTATGATACCTTTAAGAGAGTTGTTTCTCTATTGTTGTCGGAAATCGTTTCATCTATTATATTAGTGTATATAATAAGTCTGTTTCTGTATATTACAACGGACAAGAAAAATAAATTTTACCTTATAAAAAAAATAACACATTGTTTGCAGTAATTTAATCCAAAGTCACAGAAAACTTCTTCAATTAAACTTTCATTGGCCGTTCGTCTTTCAATTATATTTTTGAAACTAAAACTACGAAAATATGACAATTCCATAATTATTCAGCAAAATATTAAGATGTGCAAATACGAGAACAAAAAGAGTCTTAATTTAAATTCAATTTATTTTGTTCGCGTATCAATATTTTACCTAATCGGTTTAACTAAAGAAATCACATTAATTACAAAACCAAGCCAAAGAAATATAACTTAGAATTAAAAAAAAATCAAATTTACCTGTTTCGCTATAACGCAAGCCCTGTTGACAGCTTCAGCCTCTACCTCTTCAGGCCTTGACATCTCGTGTCCTTCAGGACCAGTTATGCCTTGAGCCAGCAACCGTTCAGCGTTTTTGGCGATGATAGAACCGTTTTCAGCATGAACTTGAGCAAGAGCACCTAAATTCTGGCACTGTTCGAAAGCGCTGTATAACTCTGCGTCATTCAACATGAAACCATAGGCCATGAAGACTTTAAAGGAGTTGACACCGTGTTCTTTGACTAGTATCTCCATATCTCTCTTAATTTGTTCAGACCAGCGAGGGAGAATGACGTGTAGCGAGTAGTCGCAACATACTTTACCATCAGCTTTTTGACGGTACTCGTAGAATGCGTCTAACAATGATTCGTCTTCTTTGGGGAACACAAAATCAACTAAAAAAATTATTCAAAATAAGTAAATTTAAAATAGATCATCAGAGTTATTAAAAAATGGAGCAGAAAATTTGTTTAAATCCCTCGCTTACTTTTCTACCAAACGCATAAACAGTGAAAACATACCAGAAGAATGAAAAACTGTGAATATTGCTTCCAAATAAAAAATGAACAATAAATTGGATACTAAAAAAAGTGGTGCACGGTTGACCACAGTGGACCATACACCCCCAGAGGTAGGGATGTGGGGTCGTGTTTAATTCCATTCGACACATTTTTGAAAAATGTTAAACACGTGTTTTTTGGTTTTTCAATTGGAAGTATAATTCTCGAGATATTAAGTTTCCATAATTTTCTTAGGGTCACCAACGAATATGGACGCATATGGAAGGATATTTCATTTGGGCAATTTGGTCACGGTTATTATACTTCAAAACTCTACTGTCGAGGGCGACTGAGTAAAGTCAAACCATTGCCATCAGCTTAAAACTATATAATGAAAGATGGAGTTGCCATTGATTTGCAAAATGATTTTTATTGTTTTTTCACAATAAAGTCTTAATTTTTAATATATTAAATTTTTATAATTAAAACTTAAAAAGGTACGAAAATTTTAATATTAAAATAATTTTTTAACATGTAAATAACATTTCATAACATTTAATTTAAAATAGGTCCTACACAGCTGATCTTTTACAGAAATTAAATTTTTGTCTGACTTCTTCTGGCCTTGGTTTTGCAAGAGTGTGATTACACCAGGATACTGTCCTGTGGAAATTCCTCACTACCTCCGGACAGTTATCTTTAAACACTGACATGACAACCTCTTGAAATTGTTCGGCGGCCATGCCTACGTCCAATGTATGCCTTATTGTCCCTTTAATCTTACGTAAACAATATATCAGGTCTGCTTGATATGCTTCCCAATTTGTTTTAGGAGGATTACGATAAGTTTCCTTGATAGGCTCATTGCCTAAACAAGACACCCCATCTAAGGCATGCCATTTTTGCTGCAATCACTCTCTAGGTATTCCACCTCCCTTGATGGTGGTTGTTAAGGATCATCATATGGGAGGTATGCTAATCCGTGAACTCTCTCCTTCATACCTCCTCCCTCCATGACCTTCATCTTTACTGTCGTTGTCCTTGAAACAGAGATTCATCAAAGGTAGTTCTGATATTTCTTTTTACTATTATGCAGGTCCTTGTAAATTCGGTAGACTGGCTAGATATATTATAAGCTCTCCTCCAATGTCCGATAGACCTCTTATTTTGTCTTTGTAAACCCAGAGCTCTTGTATCAAGGTTAAATAAAATCTTTTCATGGCAATAGTAAGTTCTACCGTTGCTGCCTTACGATACAGGAAATTCGCTTGTATGGTTCTGATTTGAGCCATCGCGGCCCCCCGTTTTATACGAGACCTCGTCAATCGTATACACTACGGTTTGCGCTTCTTTCCCGATCTTTTATTTTTTAAGAACCAGTCTTCTGTCTTGTCTTGATTACGTCTCTTTAGAGGATTCTCATGGTTTCCTTATCAGTCTCTTTCTTGGAAACGCAAGTGAGGACCATAAGGAGCTTGGGCATATTATTTGAATGTTTTATAAAAGTTCATTCTGAGCTCCGATAGAATCTTCATTAACTACTTATTCCAGTTTGTTAATAATAAAATCTACTTGAGCCCCATCTAGTTGAGTATCAGGATGGTATCTGTGCTACCGCCATTCTGAATACTTTTGTCACAATGCTTTATGACCTAGTCTACTCGTTAGAGCGCCTTGGTATCTCAACAACTCTATTGCGAGGGGGTGATGGTAATCTCCCGAAGTCTCTGTTTATCCTCGGATGTTGCCGATTTGGTTTTCTTGGGATTTATTATGGTCCATGTCCCAGCAGCCTTTTTGTCTCCTTAAGGCAATTATAGTGGACTACCGAGATCAGAAATTGATTTTTGATCGAAACACCTTAGAGTGTTTTGGGTTTTTTCTCCCAGTGATCGACTTTTGATTAATTTTTTTTATATTTTATAAGAAGAGAGTTTTAATTATATTATTTATAGATTTGTAAACATTTAATATACAAATTTGAATCACAATATTTTTTTCTAAAAAGATTCAGATATTACAAGTTAAAAAAAAAATTTCTTAAAAAAAATATGGTGTATAAGTAGGATTTAATCTATAATTTTACAAAATGCAAATATTTAATGCTAAGCATTCGATGCACACGATCACGCCGCATCTACATAAGAAAATATTCAAAGTTGCATTTGTTGCTCCACGCTTTCATAATATATTTTACAAGCAGTAACAGCGCTAAAATCTTGTTTAATCTCAGCCGGGACTAAAAATGATTGAAATGTCCTATATGCATCGTATATTCGTTGGTATCAAAATAAAACGTTTTTTCCGATTATAACGCCATCTATCAATAATTCAATAATTCGAAAAATGTTTCTTATAAAAGTTACTTATTTTTTATGAGGAATCCAAATCTACAAAAAAATGGAGGTTCTCACTTAAGATTTCAAAGTTGCCTCTTTCTCCTCTGGGGGTGTGGATGAGGGTTCGCGTTTGGTGTCATTCAATAGATTTTTGACCAAACTGGGTATAAGCAAACCTGAATATATGTGATGACCTGTACATTAATATAAATATTTTTCCAGAGACGCCTGCATTTAATTCGTAAAAACATAAACAGGATATAAACAAGACAACATAGTGGCGCGCTACAACGCTGCATCTAATTAAATAATTAGATCCTGATGGAACAAAAAGTCTGGTATTTCCAATCTCTTAACACCACAGTCTATACGTTTATTATTTAAGTTGGATTACTAACAGCCCATGTTTACCCGCGATATCCGTTCTAAGATTAAAAATACAGTCAACCCCTATATCCTTTTTAATATTAATAATTACACTAACGAAGTTGATATACATTTTTCATTATATTTGTATTAAACCTTTAGTTAATTCCATATTAGAAAATAAGATAACTCTAAGCTTTTGGAAGTTAGATTGTATTTGTAACTGTAAGTTATAGAAAATAAATGTGACTTTTTTATTCTTAAATAAATACGCTCGGTCTGTTCTATGAATTCGTTTTATCAATGATCAATTTAATACACTCATCCATATTAAAAATGAGTTATCACCATGGGATATAAAAACCCAAAGGCAGCACTATGGAAACGAACGTTTTTAAAAAATATATTTATATTTCAATTATTGTAACATAAGATGATACAGACTTCTTCGGTCTGAGTTCAATTAATCAAACTAAAGCTTTGTACGGGTTTAGATTGTGCCGTTTTTAAAAGGTTTAATTAAAAACTGTTACTAAAACTTTTGATAAATTTTCACAAAACTTTTGCAGAAGTATACGTTGACATAACTCGAAAACGTTGAAATAACCTTATAAGATCCTAATGATACCGATTCATACACAGAATGTTTAACGAATGTTGCGTCATATATATGGCCTTTCAATTCATCATAGCGATAGCCAAGCTTTTGCTGAAGTGTAAAGTTTACATTCGTCTAATATATCAAAAGGATAAAAACAGATTTTGTTAAATCGTGAATCGTTCATCGTCAATAAAATGGGTGGCACCTCTTATAGCCTCCACGACTTGTGCGAACAAGCAGTGATATTCGCCGACGATCTGTGTATAAATTTGTATCTTTCCCGGATCTCTAATGAAGCAGAGAATATACGGAAATAACGTTATACGATCCTAATGATACCAATTCATACACGGAATGTTTGACGAATTGTACTGTTGCGGTCTTTTAATTCATCATAGCAATCAAAGCTTTCTGTAGTGATCAAAGTGTAAACTTTATATATATTTATAAGGGAGATAGAAAGGAATTATTTAGCATCTGCTATTCTACCTGTACACGTAACCACTGTTTCAAGAGTACAACGAAGGCGTATCAATATGTAATCTACGATATGCAGATATATCGACCTGCAAATATATCGAGCTGCATATTTATGCTGAACATATTGACAGCGTACATCATTTCAAATATCTAGCATACTAAGCATGCACAGTAAATGATGTACAAGTACAAACCCTCATACCCCGATGTAGAAATTAAGATCCGAATCAAGATCTAGATTAATAAAAATGAGAAAGCTCTTAAGCAACCGTAAAAGCATTAACATGTTAAAAATGTTAAAAATTTTAGAGTAAAAGGGTGGATGTTAAAAGTAGCAACTATAAAAAGTAGGCATTTTAGAACTATGGCTGTACTGACAAATACTGAGAATATATTAGACAGATAGAGTGACCAATACAGAGGTATTGAGAAAAATGGATAAGGAGATGGAATTGTTATTAATTGTTAGGAGGAAAACATCATATCTGGGCCATTTGTTTCATAATGATAAGTACAGTCTGCTACAGCCTATAGTATAAAGCAAGAATGAAGGTAGAAGCTGCAAACATAATACACGAGGCACAAAACAGAGAAGCATATCGCATAATAGTGGCCAACCTTCGGCATAAGAAAGCACATAAAGAAGAAGAGGTGGAGTATTATTTCCGTTCTGACGGAAATGGTTATATCAAGGCCGACAAGCTAACAAATTTTGAATTTGGCATCTTTTTTCCTAAATGCTCTCTTTTTTAATGTATTAGTACCCCTTATTTAGAAAGAGCCCCAGTGCCATTTATGAGTCGCAATATAGCAGGATGCTATTCTCGGACGTTGAACCGGCCGTATTTAGAACAATCATTAGCTCAGTTAAAAACGTTAAAATAACTTACTGATCATTGTAGTTCCTCCAGCAATAGCAGCTTTGGTCCCACTATAAAAGGAATCCGACGACTTGGTTCCCATGAATTCAAAGTCGAAATGGGTATGTGGATCAATACCGCCCGGCAAAATATACCTAAAAATATTTCATTCATTAGGATGTTGCATTTAAAAATATTTATTGTTGTGAGTTGATTCTCATCTTCATTCGCTTGTGAATATTGAAAATAATCCTGAAAAATCATCACTTTTTTTAATTGTTTAAAGCGCAGATATGAAGTATGAGTTTTCGACTATAACGTTCTGCAGTAGTAGCAGCAGAACATTGGATCCATAGGTTTGTGTTTTGCAAATGCCTTTGCTCTATCCCAATTGTAAATAACATTTTCTTAAATAGCTTACATCTAAGACTCACCTTATTTCGACTTGATTAAATTCAAATTGTCCTTTTGAAATGTTTCTCTGGTTTCCTTTGTGTCTGTTTATAATCGGTATTTTAGTTCTAGTGTCAAAACTACGCAACGGTTCTATTACGTTCTGCAAACGTATCAGCAATCTACAGGCTTTAACGGACACTAATTCGAGTTAGGTGTAACCTGTAGCTGAATGTACCAAAATATTGTACGAACAATAGATATATTTATAATAAACACATAGTCAAAAGTTTTAATAATTCGTATTGAAGCGTCAATACATATTTATTTTCTTCGTTATTTTCCTTTATTTATTGCAATCTGTTATCAATATAACAATAAACAATGATTGAAAGAAAGAAAAATGACACAGTGCGAATTACACTCCGTAGTCAGCACACTGTACCTATATTTAGTTTACATTATCAAATTTCTGACTTCTATACAAATGACCTATAACTGTAACTTCAGCCTAGTTCCTAGCGGTGGAGAGATCTAGAGGATCCAACCTTTTTAATCTTCTAAGTAGTGGTGGAGTCAGTTCTCTTGGACACAAATTCATAGCAGGAGGAGACTTTAACTGTAAACATCATCACTGGGGCTCTAGGGTAATTACAACAAAGGGTAGACAACTGCTGAAGTCAATAACAGGAAACAACCTACAACACATATCTACAGGAGAACCAACTTATTGGCCTACAGATTAAAATAAAACACCAGATCTCTTAGACTTCTGTGTGATTAAAGGTAACTCTCTTAACTATTTAGCAATAGAACCATGCTGGGACCTCTCTTCAGATCATTCTCCCATTCTAATTGACCTAGACTCCAAAATCATATTCAGAAATAAGCCTCCAGTCCTAACCAATAATCAAACAAATTGGAAAATATTCCGAAGCGCACTAGCAGAACAAATACCAACGAACTTGCCACTTAAAACAGAATTACAAATTGAAAATGCGGTACAACAACTTACTACCTCCATACAAAAGGCACGTTGGATTTCTACTCCTGAACAAACAACATGGAAGGAAAGCATAAACTGTTCGCAAAGTGCAAAAAACCTGATCGATGAGAGAAGAAAATTTAGGAAAAAGTGGCAAAATACACACGCTCCTATTGACAAACAAAATTTAAACAGAATTGGCAGAAGACTTAAAAATCTATTAAAAGAAGAGAAAAACAGGGGGATCCAAACTTACTTAGAAAATTTGACTCCGTCCAAAGACACCAATTATTCTCTATGGAAGACGACGAGAAAGGTAAAAGGTGCACAAGACGCCATACCTCCTCTAAAAAATGTCAAAGGTAAATGGGCAAGAACAGATACAGAAAAATCTGAGACATTCGCTGAACATCTTTCTACAGTATTTAGTCCATTTAACAGAGTAGTGCCATTAGAACAAGAAGAACCATTTAATTCTTTTCTTGAGGCTCCATATCAAATGGAACTACCAATCACCAAGTTTAATATTAAAGAAGTAAAACAGATAATAAAGAATGAGATACAACCCAATAAGGCTCTGGGATTCGACCTCATAACGGGTAAGATCCTCCAGGAACTAACCAATGACTGTTACAGAATAATCACTATGATCTTCAATGCTATTCTTAGTCTGCATTACTTCCCTCTGCAATGGAAAGTGGCACAGATTATACTCATTCAAAAGCCTGGTAAAGATCCAAAAGATATCAACTCATACCGACCGATTAGTCTACTCCCAGTCATCTCTAAGGTCTTTGAAAAACTTCTGCTACGAAAAATCAAACCATTATTGGACGAAAAGTGTCTTCTACCTAACCATCAATTCGGTTTTCGTAACCAACATGGCACAATCGAACAAGTTCACAGACTATACACAACAATAAGAAGTAGTCTCGAGAACAAGCAATACTGTACTGCAGCCTTTTTAGACGCCTCTCAAGCTTTTGACAAGGTGTAGCATACAGGACTTTGTACAAATTAAAGAAAAATTTACCTTACCCTTACTTTAAACTACTTCAATCATACCTTACAGAAAGGAGATATCTGGTAAAATATAGTGAAGCCTATACAAAACTCTACCCCATCCTATCTGGTGTACCTCAGGGTAGTGTCCTCGGACCGATTCTGTACCTGATATATACGGCTGACTTGCCAATAAGCAATAACCTAACGCTTGCAACATTCGCAGATGATACTGCTTTCTTGGCCTCTCATAGCAACCCAATAATAGCTTCAGAGAGACTGCAACTACATCTGAACAAAACAAATGACTTGCTTAAACTCTGGAGAATTAAAGTAAACCCCTCAAAATCCACACAAATTACATTCACTCTAAGAAGAGGTACATGTCCACAAGTTAACCTCAGTGGTAAAATACTTAGGTATTCACCTTGACAAACGTCTAGCTTGGACCAAACATATATGGACGAAAAGGCTTCAATTGGGAATTTTATACAGAAAACTTTACTGGATGTTGGGAAAAAACTCTCACCTATCGATCGACAACAAGCTGCTGATATACAATACAATAATAAAACCCATTTGGACATATGGCTCGCAGCTCTGGGGTTCAGCTAGCAAATCTAATATTATGATAATACAAAGATTTCAATCCAAAGCTCTGAGAACAATCGGTAATATACCTTGGTATATCCAGAATGATGCAATACATAGAGATCTTCAGGTACTAACAGTCTCTAAAGAGTGCAAAAAATCTTCTGAACAATATCAAAACAGGTTGCGGGTGCATCCTAATACCCTGGCACACAATCTTCTCAACAACCAACAAGCGAAGAGATTGAAGCGACATGACCCCTTGGACCTACCTCACCGATCATGACAGAGCCTACAGCAGTGGGAGTTACGCCTTCAACAGCGCCCAGCCATTGTGATCAGTGCCGCTTTTAGTGCTCGCGTATCAGTGTATGTGCGCATCCTACTAGTAAACAAGCCAATTTGTGTCGTGATGATTTGGTCACTGGATCTTACATCTCTGTCATGTAAAGACAAAAGAATTTACTTGTGGAGTCATGAGATCGTCGGCGGCTGGATTTGGTTGTGATGATAATCTCTTAAAGCAGTTTGTACACTGAGTGGTGGTTGCTTCTTTAACAGTTACAATAATAATAGTTTGGCACATGTTATGGGATATTACAGACATCAGGAAGGACTTTTTCATATTACTCGCAGTTCTCCAGAATTGGATCCCGTACATCCATACCGGTCGTAGTATTGTCTTACCAGTACATTTTCTTATAAATTCCTAGTTGTAGTCGTTTGTACCATGTATGTTTCCCAGAATTTAAGTGATTATCTATGTAGATACAGAGATATTTGACGTATTTTCTAGTAGGTAGTAATGTTCGATTTACCGTTATTTATTTATTAGTCGATTTAGTATTATTTACTTTTACGCGGTATAGTTTTAACCAATTTTCTAATTGTTTTAATTTTATTGTAACATAATTTAATTTTAACAACTTTTATTATTGTTCATAATTACTACTTCCTGAACATTCTTTTAAGTACACATATTATACATTAACTTTCAAAGATGCTCAAAGTGCAGACTTTGGTTCTTTTGTTACGATATTGCATCGTATTTCCAATTTTTGTTGAGTTTCAATGATGTCTCGTAATCGAGTTGGATTGCAATGATGCGGAAATTTTCAATTTCTATCGAACATAATATCGAAAATGTAGAACAATACAAAAAACTATTATTCTTAAATATCTATGTACTATATACCTTCCTCTGGCGTCAATAACTCTTGTTCCTCCAGGTATGATAAGGTTGTTACCAATTTGCTTGATAATGCCATCTTCAATATAGATGTCTTCGTCTATAACGTCGTCTTCGTTGACGATTTTGCCGTTTTTGATCAAAAGGCGATTCTGTGAGCTCTGAAACAAAGAGAATAGTTTTAGTTATGGAAGTAGGTATAAACAATTATAAAGATGTTGAAATGTAGATCATTAGAATGTAATGTTCTAACATTAATACGGATTGTTCATGAATAGTAAATGTCACCCTTCAATTTTTACAATTTTTAAATTATCTATACAAACACAAGCAACTCTTTTCTGTTGTGTATACAGAGTGGCCCCAAAGGCTGGAAACGGCTAATTATCTCGTAAATTACTAGACATAATTATACAAAATTTGAGATACGCCTATTTTGGGATACGGAGATTCCATATTTGGTATTTGCAATGTTGCCAGATTTTCAGTTTCTCTTATATTACTAGTAACTTTGGTTTTTCAAATACATCACCCTGTATATTCAGTCATTATTGGAATCTCCTATTTAATACGAATTCAACCACTTATGATTTTATGTAATCTGGAAGGTCATAAATACATAAAACCGAAGTCTGGCACCGCCTAAATTGTTTCAATAAATTTTTTAATACTAACTATTTTCAAATACATTAAAACGTAACAATTGATAGTTTAGAATATTTTTTAACATAATAGTTACGTTATTAAGTGTTCAAAATGTGCTCCATTTGAGAGTTGACAGCACTCTAATCGATGGTAGAATGCGTGTACCACATTTCTCCATGATTGTCTAGAAATTATTCGAGATTCATCGATAATTCATTGCCTTAGCTATGCAAGACTTGCTGGTTAAGTTTTGTAAACTGAATTTTTCAAGTATCTCTAATAAAAATAATCTTTAGGATTGAGATCGGGTGAACGTGGAGGCCATTCAATTCTACCTTGTCTACCAATTTATCGTCCCGGAAATATCTCATCTAAATAACGCCGAACATTTACACCAACTATCTGACGTTAAATTTCTTTCGATAAAAAATGGCCCAATTAAATAAGTACCTACTATAACTGACCATACATTTAATTTTTGTGTTCTTTGAGTATGGTGTTCACGCATTCAGTGTGAATTTCACACGAGTTCAGCTATTCAATACGAGTTCAACCATATGTTCATTTGATTTTATGTAGTCTGAAGATCTTAAATACATAAAACAGTGCAAAATATGTAGATTTTAATAAATTTAAATATTTAAATGGAGAATGCTGTGATTTTGACATTTGTTCACCATTTAAATTATGAACTAAAATTGACAGTAGTTGTGGTTCAAAAAGTTCTGCAATTGAAATTGCTTCTCTAAAATGCCGTTCTCTAAACCGTTCTCCTATTCATAAGACGACGGTACAAAAAACTGTAAGGCGATTTGAGGAATCTGGAGAAGTAAAAGATAGATATCGATCAGGTTGACCGCAACGAGTTATCAATGATAACAAAACTTCAGATATAAGCAAAGTTTTGTTGAAGATCCACATACATCCCCAGGCAGGGTTGCACAAGTACATGATGTAGGTCATTCTTCAGTCTTACGTTTATTACGTAAAAATAAATTTAAATCATACAAAATTAACTTATTGCAAGAATTCAGTGAAGATGACTTTGGTCGTAGATTAGAGTTTACTGAGGTAATGATGGATAAAATTGAAAATTATTAAAATTTCGTTAACAGAATATGTTTTCCGATGAAGCAACTTTTACACTGTGTGGAAGTGTAAATCGACACAATTTAAGGTACTGGTGTGACGTAAATTCACACTGAAGACTGAATGCGTGAAAACCATACTCAAAGACCACAAAAATTAAATGTATGGTCAGATATAGTAGTTACTTATTCAATTGGGTCATTTTTTGTCGAAAGAAATTTAACGTCAGATAGTTGGTGTAAATGTTCGGCGATATTTAGATGAGATATTTCCTGGACGATAAATTGGTAGACAAGGTAGAATTGAATGGCCTCCATGTTCACCCGAATTCAATCCTAAAGATTATTTTTATTAGGGATACTTGAAAAATTCAGTTTACAAAACTTAACCAGCAAGTCTTGCAGAGCTAAGGCAACGAATTATCAATGAATCTCGAATAATTTCTAGACAATCATGGAGAAATGTGGTAGACGCCTTCTACCATCGATTAGGGTGCTGTCAACTCACAAATTGAGCACATTTTGAACACTTAATAACGTAACTACTATATTAAAAAATGTTCTAAACTATCAATTGTTACGTTTTAATGTATTTGAAAATAGTTAGTGTGTTTTGCATAGGCAGAAGGTTTTAATAACCATTTTACTTGCCAAATTAAAGACAGCAGCATTCTAACCAGCTCTTCATACGATCAGAACTACTGCGCTCCGTAATCCCAAGGTGTACCCAGGAGAGGCATGGTACGGGGAGCAAATGTTGCCGCAAGCGATGCCTCAGAGAGCTGTCGAACTCTGGGGGATTATACACTTAAGCCGCGTTTTCACGATGGCAATTGGCGAGACAATTGTCAGAAGACACCTGACTGACTGGCATGAAATTATTGTCTTCGTGTAAACACTTCAGGCCAATTGCCTTGCCAACTGCCCTCACAATTGGCCCAAAATTCAGTTGTCTCCGGGAGTAGACTGAGGACAATGAGCTGCGCCCAGTTAGCCCCTCCACCACTCGAAATCTCAATTGTCGCGACAATTGGTGCCGTGTGAACGCTGTAGGCCAGTAGTGCTGCCAGTAGTAATTTGTGTTATTTGGGTTAAATTTAATTTTCGTACTATGAACATAACCTATAGATATGTTTGACGTTAAATGTAAGCTTAATATACGTCAGTGTTGACATATACTCAATTATTTCACACTCTCATATATAAAATTATGGGCAAGATTTATATATATGAAATGAAAATTTAAAATTTAAAAATACATATATAATTAAACAAAAACGTAAAAAATACATATATACATAATTAAAAGCCTTCAAATTATACCTATAAATATTATAAAATAAAATTATATCTTACATTTAAAATACTTATATACCTAATAAAAACCATTAAAATTATGCTTAAGGTAAAAATTAATAGTTTAGAAACTTTAAAAACTACAGAATAAAGTAAAGTTAAATGAAAATAAAAAAATTAGGTTAAACATAAGAATACACTAAATACTTAGCTATATTTAAAGTAAAAAATACTATTTTATAAATGCTTTTTAATATGAATTCAAAAATTGTGGCTTCTCATAATAAAACATTATATAAAAATTTAATGGGAAAGTCCCAGTAGTTGGCTGTATACCATCGTTTAAAAAACTTATACAGAAGTAAAACACTTCACATTTATCTAAGTATATACCTAAATACAAGTGTGAAGCATTTTACTTCTGTATAAGTTTTTTAAAACATATACAATTTCGTCAAAGTATCTTTCTATTTTAAAAACTCCTATACTTTATACAAAAAAATGTGGCAACACTGTGACGCACAAACATATAGTTGTCATGTTTTAGCTGTCTACTGCCATGGCAATAGTTGGCCCCGTATAAACATCTTCTCGTTCAACTGGACTGGCCTCCGACAATCCGAAACCATGTGATGACAATTGTCCAATGACAATTGTCTCGCCAATTGCCATCGTGAAAACGCGGCTTTAGCACAGCAAAGTTGCGCTGTCATGTCTGACAGTATATTGTCTTGGATGTGTGGGAACAAATATGGAAACTACCCTGATGGAATGACAATCTTGCAAATCAAAAGACAGACGAAAATTTAATTTCGACAAATGATCAAGTGAATGGGGCGACTACCGCAAATATTTGACTGAATATAATAAAGAACTGAGAACAGCCAACATAGAATCGTGGAGAAGGCATTGCAAGATGATAAAATAGATGCAAGGCCCATAAAGTTTTCTTAAAGAGACCCTCAGATAAATATTCCCTCACTTCAAAAAGAGTCAGGTGAATACACTCAGAATGGTGAAAAGCCCTTGAAACAACTTTCTGGGTCTAAAACAAAGCTGATGTTACTAGATACATGGCAGCAAAAGGAACTTGATACCATAAAAATTGGCTTGTAGTAAGAGAAGTTATAAACCAGGACAAAATCAAATAGTCAATCAATTCATTTGAGTCATATAAATAATCGGGTCTGCAAATGTCTGCAAATGAATAGACTACACGTTAAGGAGCCGTGTCAGATACGCAATTACTATTTTTATTGGGCATCACAATTTAAGTTTATTTATTATGAGTTTATTTTTGACGATTCGATTTCCGCTTCGGAAATCGTTCTCAAAATATAAAATATTATTACATTAAACAAATATTGTTTTTTGTTATTTGAACATTTTAAAGTGGACGACTTTAAAATTATATTGCCAATATTGGTGAGTTGCGTTCCTGTGATAATTTTCTTGTAAAGTTCATTCGATTACATGAAATCGACTTTAACTTAAAAATACCCGTCAGAAAAAACTTTAAATTAAAAACTTATTTTAAACGTAAATTATGGCTTATTCCCAATAAAAATAATTGCATTAAGATGCTACAAGAAATTAGCTTGAGAACAATATATGCAATATAACTGGGGGTTACAAGTAGTCAGAGGCTGGGTATGAGTTTTATCTCAGCTCTTCTGAAATCTGATCAGGGATGAGCACTTATAGTTGGATTCGGCAACGACAGGCATAATGTCCTAGCTAGTCTATGCCGATGACCCAATCATCATACCTCACATCAAATTTAACGATACAATTAAAGATAGAACGCAAACAGCTCGGACTGCAGTTACAGAATGGAATTCAAATGTAAACACCTAATTCTGGCAGGCGAGAATGGTATATTACCTTATCGGGTGACTTTTGACCATATCGTACCCAGAAACAGGCGTAAATTATTTTTCCAGGTTGACATCTGCCCAAGAGAGGAATGGTAGAGGAAACACACAACCTAGATTGCAGGATTATTTATATCTGGTACACAGACGTGATTAAAACTGCAGAAGCGTATGATGTACATATATGCAGTATTTGTGGAAATATTAACATTTTCAAGTCAAAAATTGTGTTTACATGCCATGAAGCTACAATTGAAT